TATTTCGGTATCGTTTTACCAGGGGTGTACACCCTTCGTAAGCGGATACATTAAAAAAAAACATAATTACCTACCTAAAGAATCTGTTATACAAATATAAAATTAAATGTAACGTTTAAAATTATTTTACTTATTTATAAAATTCATTTAAACTTTTAACTTAATTTTTATTGTTTCTTTTTTATATAATTTTGAGTCATTATGGCGTATAGGGAAGAGCACTGCTTATTCTAAAGTACAGGATTTACCTATTTAGGGAGCAGAGTTTTACCTATATTTAAAATTTAACATTTATTTTGAAATAAATTATTATTATTATTATATATTATTATTATTAAAAAAATTAAAGAATTCATTATATTTAATTTAAATAGATTTAATGGATGATAAGCATTGATTTATATTTTTAGAAAGTTTACAATATTATCTGTAGATTATATAAATAGTTACTCATATTTAAATATAATATGGTTTACATTTTTGTCACATTTTAATATTTAGTAATTTACATAATAGTTACCACGAACAAGTGCAAATAATTATAGGTGAATTTTAATAAATAAATTATTAAAATAATTTAATTATTAATTAATGCAAATTTAACATCAAATTTATAACGCAATGGTCAATGAACCACAGTACAAATGAAAGATATTTCTGCAAAATTTGAATCATAAAACCTTGAAACTTGAGTTTTCAATTTTCCATTTTCCAATTTTTTTAAACATTAATTGAATAAAATAAAAATTATTACCAATAAAGTAGACAATTTTTTTTTATACAACTTAGAATGGCAAACAAGCTGACGGCCCACCTGATGGAAAGTGTTAACTGTCGCCTGTAGACATGAGCAGTACTATGGACATAACAGAGTATACTGTTTCGCCCATGATACCCCCCATGCGTTGCCATTCCAGAGGTGTTATTCCTCTGTACCCAGTATATTCACGCCATATCCCACCCTTCAAACTGAAACACAGCCATGCAAACACAACTGCTTCACGGTAGAAACACGAACGAAACACGAATTATTTTCATAACTATCGTTGAATTTGATGACCTGTAAACTACTCGAAGACAGGGTGCAAATGTCATCAAGCATTTTGCAATACGTACGATTCTTACTATTTCTAGTACAGGAATTCCTTAACTTTTAAAATATCAGAACACTCATCGAATACATTTTATTTTATACATCTCTATACAAAATTATTACAAATCAAAGATATTGTAATTGAAACAAGAACAATAACATTTATTAGCCATATTTAAAAAGTAAATTCTCGCTAACTAGCTATCTACTTACATAACAGTAATGAATTTTTCTCATTCCACATTTTACTCTATGCCAAAATATGCGTAATATCTGTACTAAACTGTGGTAACATTTAACAGCCAAAAATAAATAATTTCTCGGAACCCTGGTAACATTTGTACGGGATCCCGAAGTTCTACGTAACCCAATTAAAGAATCTCAGATCTATTACAGTATAATTAACCAAATAATTTATCGAAAACATAACGAACGATCAATTGTTAATAATAAATCGATGGTTTTGTCTAAAATCCTATAAGATATTATCAATTGGAAATGTATTTATTTATTTTTCACTTTTTCGATCATAAATAAAAAATTACGCGCTTTAATATCAAATTAAAGTACCCCATAAGGACTCCCAGCAAAGAAAATATTTATACATTTACTTCTTTTAAAGTATATATGGAGCAAGTATATATCTAAAACTATTCCAAATTTAAAATCGATAGAATTTCTACTTACTAACATAGAGCACAGTAATTGACGTACAGACAGATGAAGTCGCACCATAACGGTTCCTTTACACCATTTTGTTACAGAACCCTAAAAATTCCGGGGTTTGATCCGTATATCTTAACCAAATAATATTGAAATGTTTTGTCTCGTATGAACATTAAAAAAAACAATATACCTACAAAACGATAAGATTACAGAGGTTTTTATGTATGTCCATCTGTACACGTATCGCGTGGAAATCACTATACGGAATTTAATGATACCTATTGACATCGTTGGACAGACAGTGTGTATCAATTTATTACGTCATAGTGCTTATTTCCTAGTTAAATGTTTATAATAAACATTATTTTATAATGATAAAAAAGTTGCTGATATGAAATAATCTTAAGAGCGTTCATACCGGTTCATATCAGTTGTCTAATATCCATAAATTCGAACTGTGCTTAGTTTGGCACTAGATGGCGCTGTGCGATATATCCAATAATATTTATTAATTAATATTAATTAATTGATATCGAAATCTGGTTACATCTATAAAGGTAATACATACAACATATATACCTATTATTTTTATATCTATTTTTATTATCAGTCACTTTTGAAAAATAGTTAAACAATCTGAACTTTTCCAAAGTGTTTTATTATCAGTCATTTTTCAAAAATAGTTAATCAATCTTAACTTTTCCAAAATGTTATGAATGTCAATGCACATTTTTTTTTAATCTATTATTTAAATAAAAATATAAAGGCATATGAATGATAAGGAAGAGTTGGTCCCATTTTCTTTATTAGTACACTCGTGCGAAGACAAGGTGGATAACTAGTAAAATATAAATTTGTTGGCAAAAAAAATTATTCAATTTGCCTGCAGGACCATTTTTACTTTTAAAGTGCCTGTATAGAATCAGATTAAATAGTTTGTCTCTTGAATATTCGCCAAATTACAACCAAAAACGTTACTAAAATTTATTAATACAAAAACCGTTTAGGTGCGACTTACACGCAAAGGGTTCCGTACATAAATAGATAACAGATAAGATATAAAATCACCTTCACTGCTTTTCTTATACGAAATAAACAAAAAAATAAACAACAAAAAATTATTATTACTAATATTTTGGACCATAATTTTGCTTAAAAACTGAACCACGTAACAGAGTTTGTTTTGGAGATTTTTTGATCCCAGTTAGAAAGATCGTTTTATTTTTCTGTAATATTTATATATAACTGTAATTATTTCAAATTTTTCACTTATCAAACTTTGGAGATAAAGGGTGGAAATAATATTTTGTAGACAGCTTAATTTGAAATTTTGCATACCCATTTTGGATTTCATAGAAAAAAGAAATAAAAATATTTTTCAATTATTTCCATTGTAATATATGTAATGATATGTAAAACAATTCCAAATTTTAAATCGATATAACTTGTAGTTGCTGAGATATAACGATGTGACGAACGGATTGACGGACAAAGCCATCATAAAGGTACGGAACCCTTAAAATAGCATTTAGTAATTTGTTATTAAAATAAACTGTTATTTTGCACATAAAAAATAACTGTTCTATATTCTGTTATTTACCTAATAATTTATCATTATCAGCTTATTAGATATCATGTTAGTATTTTTTTTTGTATTAATATAATAAAAAATGTATTTATAACCCCAATAATTGAACTATGACCAAACAAACATGTATAAGATATAGAATCTCTTATATTAAAGATAAGATGTACTGACCGTCAAGTATTTACATATCGATTCCTTCGGCCAAAAAAAATAAACAAAAACTTCTGATACCTACTCTAGAGCAAAAACCGTGGTGCCAACCACAGAAAAACATAAGTGCCCAGTCTGTTACAACAGAACTTAATTAAACTTTAAACAAATGTACAATTAACTCGATCATAAGACAGTCTGCTGATGTCCAGTACTAGTACAAATCAAACATCGACTAATTTCATTTAAAAAGTGTTACTGTGATAATTTCAACAAAACTAGGCTGCCTTTTCATTAAGTTTTATTAAAACGGACTATAGTTTCTGTATCGGAAACATTGTTTTGAATCATGAACGGTGTTAGTGTGGAGGTGTTCATATAGTAATATCAGTAAGTATAGAAGCGACGGGCTAAACGTCGGTTCATTGAAATGTGGTGAGTATGATGAACTTTGGATTACGTTCGACACGCGAGCGTTCGGCGAACACGTGAGAAACCTGTTTTTGCGTTATTTTAGAACAGGCATAGAGGGTTACTCGTAAACTACGTTCCGAGCAGGTATCGGCCCATGCACTATTTATGTTTTACCACCATAATGAAAGGTTAAATTGTCGACAACATAAATTGCCACTGTTTCACGTCAAATTAGTAAGCCGATCCGACGCAAAAACGCTTTTGAATACTCTATCCAACAATTTTCAAATTAAGAACGCGCGATAGGAAACAGCTATAATTCCTACTTGCATTAATTGAGGCGCATCAATAACAAGTACCGCGGGCGAGGATCTTTAATAACTCAGTTACCGAACTGTTCAACCGTGTAGAGAACAATTTTTATGCGGTTCAATTAATTCTTTTACTCCATTAAGTCTGTAATGAGTGCAAAAAATGCTTGCTCCAATTCGCCTTATCTTAAGATTCATTTTCCGCAATTCCGTTTAGACGTTCTGTGAACGATTCTGATGACAAAAAAAGTCGAATTTATAAGGAATGATAAAAATGGTTTTGTTTCCCCGGCTGGTTGTTTTACAATTTTATCGGGCGGCACGCAACGTTCTAATTTCAAATTTGAAATGGAATTCTCGTCAAGTCGCGTTGTATAATACGTTGTCGGGCGAGCGAGTGCTGCCGGCCAGATAATCGGACTGGTTTCGATATCTTGAAAAAAGTAAAAAGTTCACTTTAAAACAACGTATACACGGGAAGTTGCCGCTGATAATCTGGTGAGGTAAGTGCAGTTTTGACTTTAATGTGTTAATAAAATTGTAAGCGTTTTGTCGGCGAAACCGAGCCAAGTTTGTATACATATTTTGGGTGCAGAAAATGGCGACGCGCAACGATGCACCGTTCGACGCGTACGTTATTAAATTAGTCGAGTCAGTGTGTATTATGCTAAATACTTTGTAATCAGAGCAAGTTATTGCCTCACATTTTGCATGACACTGGACAAATATAAAAGATATTATTTCGCGCTGGCATAATTTTTATATTGAGCGGACTCACCAAGGTTCGCCGTCATGAGGTCTTGGTCTTTTGGTTTCTTTTTTCTCGGGCGGCCTTTTTGCCGGGGCGGTGGTGCAGCGGCGCCGTTGAAAAAGGGCCCTTTAGGAACATCGGCTTCTACTCGCGAAAACTCGGGAGAAGGGTAAGGGGGATAGTGCGGGCCGGGTGGTGGGCCGGAGTAAGGCCCCGGGCACATCTGGGGTGGCCCCGGAACAGCCATGTGAGGCCCGTATTCCGGCATCGTTTCGTAATGCAGCCTGCGAAAGGAAATTACATGTCACTCGATGTTAATACGATAAAGAATGCAAAATAGCATGGCCAAAGTAAAACTATTGTAAATAGGTATGCTATAATTATTGTGACCTAAGTATTATTACATGCACTGGCAACAAATTTTACATGTACATATAAATAAATATAAGTAGTATCCCTTCGCTCTTCTCTTCTTCGAATTCCAATATCACATCTTCCAACCATTGGTTCCGAGGAACTCACGTCGAAGTCAGACTTATATTTTTCATAAAAAACCGCGAGGTTAACTATTCGGTTTAGTATAAAAGGTTCAAAAATGTTCATCTATCAGTCAATATCGGACCAGAAGTTCTGCAACCTTCCATATTAGCCATCAATCTCCGACTGCCTTTTTGTTCGCGCACCTATTCCGGTAAAAGAACTTCAGGTAGAAATAGTGGTGCTCTATATTCGAGTGTTGACAGTCAATTGTCAGTCACACATACTAATGGTAGCGGAATTAAACAAAATAATTGCATTCAAATAACCAGTGTATCTTCATGACCATCGATTAGCAGTTTAGGTGTTAAAAGGCAACAAACACTTCCACAAATATAATATGTACTAGCAAAATTTCCAAGTAATTCTTTTTCTCAAAAAGATTCTTCATTTAGAATCGTATTTCAATAATTAAAACTTTTTTCATGCAACTTAGAATGGCAAACAAACTGACGGCCCACCTAATGGTAACCATCGCCTATAGACATGAGCAGTACCATGGACATTACAGAGTTTACTGTTTCGCCCACGATACCCTCCATGCGCTGCCATTCCTAAAGACTTAGGTGTTATTCCTTTGTACCCTGTAAATTCACGCCATATCCCACCCTTCAAGTCGAAACACAGCCATTCAAACATAACTGCTTCACGGTAGAAACACGAATGGGGCAGAGGAGCCCAAGCAAACGACTTTTGTACAAAGTCTCCTTCTGGTAAATATAGTAACTAGTAATGAAAACTGCAACGATATAGTATCGGCTCAATCGTTGAAACCATTTTCTTATTCTCATCCTTGAACGGCGCCAATTGTTTAGTTATTCATTCGAAATTAGAATACGAGTACTGTTCACATCGATCGTTGCACAACATTAGTCATTAGCAACGTATTCTATATTCTGTTTCAATAGAACTTAATAGAAATGTAAACAAACAAAAAACCATGAACAGTTCAACAGAGCTGTAGTTGGCACGCTTAGCAGGCGAATTGACTACCGCAGTTACGCTTTGTTGATGTTTTAAGAGGGCTGCTGCTGCCGATCCCTCGATCATTAGGTAGTCGCCTCTTACGACACCCACCAGAAAGGAAATGGCTCATTCTATACTGGGACTACATGACATTGTAAAATTATATATAGTATTTTATTTATTATGGAAATAAATTAGTTGCAACCCTTTGAACCTTTATGGGTCTGAAGGGAAGACCAAGTAGTGGCGACATTACAGTATTCGAAAAAAAATATAAATATTACATGAGTATATTTATGTCCAGTATTTATTCTTATGTTTTAGGCAAAATGCATCTTTGAATACGGTATCGATTATTTTCGTACGTCTCTGCAACGATATTGGAACGAATCGTTTTTAAACGTACTACAGTTTCATTAATAATGTCGCTGGATTCCGTATAAATATACCTACCCTATCCGTAACACCTTATATTATCATTCCTCTCTATGTATCAGCGCGCCCCGAGTTTATCTATATTGGACTTTGTCACTTTAAGCCACAATCGACCATTCATACAATCTATGACAAAATTTTATTTAATCTAACGTCGTATAAATATCCCTTACTTAAAACTATATTACACCACTAAATAATAGGATAAAATATATCTGAATCATTTTATTTTTTTATATAAACTACGCATAAACTTAATATTAACAGAATATTGTTTATAAACTACACATCTCATCAATCAAATAGTTAAGAAAACTAAATGGAAATCATTAGAGGGACATAAAACTAACCCACTTATTCAAGAAAACGTCAATCCTCTCATAAACCTAATTTCACTATTGAACTGTTTTGTCTCTTTCTAAAGTACACTAAATTTCTTATTTGAAAAAAATTACAAACAGTGTACAAAATAATTAAAGTAGATTTGTAAAAGATTTTATTCTTTATAAGGGGGTAAGAGTTTACCAACGCTATAAAATATATTCGTATTAAGACAGAAATCGCATTAGAGAAAAATTCAAAAAGGTAAAAATTTTCAATATTAGGAGATACAAATTTTTTTGGCCTATTTATAGTATAGTGCTGTATTAGTATGAGAGGCTTATAATTTTTAGTCACTTTTTGGCTCTAGTCTCTTTATAAAATTGTTCAGTTTCCGTCATAATACAGCCTAATTGTCTTTACAATTCGTATAAAAAAATATATTACCTGCAATAAACAGCCGAATCTCTTATCCCGAACGTATCCCCCTTGTTGAGAGGTGTGTTGCAGAGTGCACACGAGAAACAGTGCACGTGGAACACCAGGTCTCTGGCCCTCATCACGAGTTCAGTAGCGGATATTGGTGTATTGCAGCGCGCACATCGTTTTGAACCGTATAACCTGCGGGACAAAGAACAAATACCTTCGTAAACGGGTAGGTCAATATGCGTTAAGTAGGTAAACATTTTGTTGACAATACACATTAAACTAACTTCAATTTTTACATAATTAATATGGAAACATGAAAATGGAAGCCTCATTTATTTATACTCTATGCGTAAATGTACAGATGGAGAACTGTCTACTCTAAAAGATGTCCAATTTTAATTCTATATAGTAAAATGACGGGTCGAAATCAGAGAGTAGTTGAAATGTGATTTTGTAAAATAATGTTGCCACACTTATTTTATGTCCCAGTTTACCATTTAATTCATAAAGGTTATTATTAGGATATTGATTTTTTAGTCATGTTTAATATAATCTTATAATGTTTTTTTTATAGATGAAATATTGTGTATTGTATCGATATACCATACTTATTACTAACCTAACCTAAACCTTTACATCGCAAATCTTTTTCTTTTTGTTCATTTTTGTTAACTGTTAAAATATTTCTTATAATTAAGTATAGAATTAAGCATTATATAAATATATATGTACTTTATTTCTTTAAATTCTTTTCTATCGATCCAATGAAGTTATTCGCTTTTATCATGATTACTTTTTTATGTCGAAAACGGTCAACATTAAATTTCTTTTTTATGCATTAAATGAAATAATATAGCCAGTAATTAATCTGACATTAGAGCATAATGTTTTCTTTTTTTTTTTATTAGTTGGCATAACAATAGAAGCATAGTTAGGAGTCTGTGCAGTCAACTCACAGCACCGGAGGCATCACTCGCGCGTCGCCATATTAAAAATAAACGTCTCCAAGTTAGCCGCTTTAAGTGATTTTAGTGGGGTAATTAAAACTGTCCGAGTGGTTGAGATGGCAGATAGTGGGTCCGAATCGTCCGCCGAGTGAGTCGTTCCCTACTCCGTGTGGTCCCGCTTCTACAGCTATCGCGATCGGCCAACTGAATAATTTTCTAAATCCCTATACGGAATTCGAGCTGGGAATTTGTGGATAGCTATTAGATTTTCCGTTTCCAATTCCATGATGCTTTAGAAAAAATAAAATGACATTAAATCTTATATAAGTTACTAGATTTTATTCACGTCTTTATCCGCATACCATATGTCCTTCTCTGTTCCAAATACTATGTGTATATCATATATTTATACAACTAAGAAGCGGAGGTAAAAATGAAAAAATCTTATGATTCTTTTATTATTATTTCTGGTTTATCTCTTAGTTTTACTTTGTCCGCACGACCGGAATATGGTCACTGACCGGAATAAAAATATTCATTCCATATAGCATGTTTGTACCAAATTTCATAGTAATCGGTTAACCTATTAAGACAGGTAACAAACAAACAAACTCACTTTCACATTTTTAATACAAGTAAATATTCGTATACCTTAGTATTACAGTGTGTCTCGAATGCTAAAACAGTTTGCCTTGTTTTAAGGTGTTAGAGATATCCATTGGACTACAGATAAGGTACTATAGGAGGTATATATTACAGGACTGGACTTGACAATAGCATTAATATATTAGCAAGGACATTTTTCCAACTAACATCCCCTAGATCGTGGCCTGTAGATAAATATTCCAACAGAAGAAAAGTAATAATTTAAAGAAATACACCTTCTAAGGGAAAAGGCACGCTACACATTAAAATAAAATTTCCTAACCACAGCTCGTTACAAAGAATAGAGCTTACTACGTATGCACTGCTAGCGAAAAGGAATCCAAAAAAAACTATAAAACATAACAAGGCCTTGTCCGCACATTGTATTAAGGTAATTATTTTCTTTCAACACGCTAGTTATAAACATTATTAGAAATTACTCAATAAAAAGCTTTTGATCAGTAATTTTATAATTTTTTACCGCTTCGTCATAGATGATTATTAATTACTGGAATAAAAATTAATGACTATTCTTATGCAAGCCCAAAACTCAGATAAATGTATGAGAAATTTCATCGGGATTGTTCGAGTTGTTATAATGTCAAGAGGTAATAAACAAACTCACTGTCCCATTTTTAATATTAAAATGACTTAAAATATCATTATTGAACATAAAAATTCGATAAGTAGACAAAAGATACTGCGTTCGAAATTCAAATATTTTCAATACTATTCAATAATAACAATATTTCCACACATTTTTTTTAGTACGTTTGTTCCGTTGTGGAACAGGCTAAGGTCGGAGACCATGCTGCCTAGTCTTCAATATGATAATTTGTCTGGAATTTTATATTTCCACACAATTATGTTAACCTTTTGCCAAAATTATAAAAATAAGTTAATAATTGTAGACCCACGTCACTTCAAACAAAAAACATTTATTTAAATTATAAAATATATAATATAAAGTACGCTTAGCTAGGTTTAGATTTTACTGCTCGCAACACTGGAAAATTGTGTTTATAAGAACACCAGTCCCAGACTAGTCGAGCAACCCCGAAGTAAGAATAACATCGGGGTTACATAAAAATGTAATAATTTATATCGATAAATAGTTACATTTTTATGTTACTTGTTGATACAGATATTTTGGATAGATATAAATAACAAATAAAATAAATGAATATTCAATGAGTTGAACAACTTATTGAATATTCATTTATTTTATTGTATTGATATTTCTATATATGCATAGATTCATGATCCAATTCGTCGATATAAGCGCAGTGCCGACTCCTAAGAACAAGGAATTACATAGAAGGAATGATAAAATAAAAACTGTAAATCATATGGTTGCCTCCTTTCTTCTTATGGAAATATATTTAACAAAAATAGGACGAAACATACACCATAAATTGCTATTTTCGCCAATTCATAGCATATGTCAATTATTTGTCAATAACAAATTTTACATTACTAGATTATATATTCGACACAGTTTATGTAGAAAGTATGTAAGCAGGTTGTATCTGAATTTGGTATGCTTATATGGCTGTATGACATTTTCTATACACTAGCCTGCTATGAATTGTCAATTTTATCACTCCTTCTATGTAATTCCTTGTTCTTAGACCGACTCTTATTAACGTAGTGACTATTTGTTCTGTAATTAATTGAACTCTGTGTTTGTACCGTAGAAAGAGACTATCCTTAATCTATGATTTTTACGAAGCAAAATGACATAATCGCGACCAATGGCACCCGGCCCCACAGACCGAGGTTAGAATGAAGCTATCGAGCGAGTCGTGGGCGCCGCTCACGAGCGATGCTATCTACTAGTGATTGACCTAGCTTCTATTATTTCCACCATCACCAGAGGTGAGAATTTGAATAGCGACTGATAGCCTTTGGATGTATCTCTTTGTTTTGAAAATAGGGGCCACACTTCCTCGAGCGAAGACCACCTATGCTTTGATACAGCGAAGCTATTAGTTCTCTAGGGATATTTGTTACGTATAAAAATATTTACACAAGGTGAATTCAAAATTGTTAGCGGTACATAAAACTAAGGCTATTCATGCTATACATTATATTAGAGCAAAAATTTCGTGTATTGTAAATTAAATCCAAAACTTTGACATACGAGTAGTAATATTAAACAATGCCTATAAAGGAATACCTGTGGATTATTTTTGCAAACAATCTAGTAGTTCCTACCTATCTATGATTGCGGGTTCGATCCCTGCACAATACAGACAGTTGTTATTTAAAAGTATATCTATATGTATATTCATATTTTGTTCATATGCATATACAAATTACAAGCAGTAAAGAACTGGTTTTGCACCCCATCGCAAAATATCCTTAAGATGACCCTGACAATAAGAATGATGTAAACTACCGGACTACATCATACTCGCAGTATAGTAACACTAGGTATCTATCTAGGTATCACTTATTATAGATTCATTATTGGGAACAGTCGTTAAACACACATGCAAATGTATTTGTTTCCTTAAAAGCACCATGATTCGCCGTCACGGCCAGAAACCTAACTGATTGTGTGATAAGCGCCGCGGACGCGGTCCGCCACGGAGAATTGTTTGTTTAAGGGTGTAATGACACTATCAAATATTAAGAATAGTATTAGATATATATTACACTATCAAATCGAAATCATTAGTGTCTTTATAAGGAGTATTCTACTAGTAAAATTAAATATTCTACTACATATCTACCTAGTTGACAAGTTGTTTAACCAATCGCTGTATATTTTTATTGTTCAAGTGCAATGAATAATATAAAAAAAATTACTGTCAAAAAATATGAATCAAAGACAAATAAAAAATATAACTATTAATTTTTGACTTTTCTTTCAACATACAATAAGATCTTAATTAAATACAGTGTAAAGTTATAGAGTTAGTAAAATATTCCGTATAGTTTACTAATCGTCTATTGAACATAGCAACATTGTGTTTTCAACTTGAATTTTATGACTAGTAAAATATACTTATAGTATAAGGCTATGTTTTTAATAATGTAATTACTCTTTATAAATAAATTAATTGCACATTTAGCATTAAAATTCTTATATCTCATAATCAACTTGAGGTCTTAGATTTGAGATAATTATAACGACTTTCGTACATTTTTGCATATGAAAGGCAAAACAAAATAAATGACTGAAACATTTTCAGTTTTTTGACCATTCAAAACAATAATAACTCTTATTAAAATTTAATCTTTATTGTGTTTAATTGTCTGTGCCGTCTGCATATACTGAGAAATTTAATTTTTGCTTGTATTTTTTTTATTTTTTTTTTTTTTATTTAAATGTTCATTTTGGGAGACTATCAGATAAGCTGGCCACTTAATTTGCTTGGGTCTGCAAGTGTTTGAATTGTGAGATCTTCTGAAATTAGAAGACCCATGGAGTTTCATTACAATCCATTTAGGTGACTAATGGAAAAAATTACGAGCAGATTCTATCTGTCTACTGTATTTACATTAGACCGTTATATTTCTTATACTTATTTTTACGCGACTTCTGAATCATCATCATCACATCAACCATTATCCTTCTTATTCAGCATTGGA